TTCATTTTTACAGAAATTAGAAAAACAACATATCCTATAACCAATAAAGCGTTCATCGCCTGCGTTCCCCACACTAAAATTGCCGTTATTTTGAAGTCACCGAATAATGTACATGTGCCACAAGAATATGAAAACTGCATTGTATGAGTACTGTACCTGAAAGACTATGTCTAGTATATCAAATTTTTTTTCTCCATTTGTCCTTTCTTGCTGTTGAATTTTTAGATTCCACAGTGATACAAGAAAACTTCATGAAACTTTACTTACGTTTTCCAGCAACCGATAACAGTGGTGCTGATAATAGTCAATACACCGACAAACCAGCCTATCGAAATATACAATAATGTATGCGTTTCAACAAAATGATGAAATGACTTGCACAGGAACATTGATATTCGTTCAATTGCAATCAAGCAGTTGAATGTTATTTTGGAGAAGTAACCAAGTGTATGTGGCATTGATAATAACATATTAACTGTTCGAGAATAGAATAAACATTTGCTATAGGTACAAGGCACCATTACAGCACAGTAAGAAAACATAAAGATTACTTGGCTTATGTACAAACAGTTCATAAGCCTATAAACTGGTGTGGTTATTTGTTTGCCGAGTAGGAAGAACAGGTACACCAGTAATAGCAAAGAGAAAAGTGCTAGTATATTCCATACAGTAAATACTACTCCAACAACAAGACGATAAGATTCAATGTTCTTTAATGGAGGTAAGCAGTCATAGCCATGCTCAACTTCTGGCATAACTCTTCTGAAAATTCGTTTATACTTATCTGCACTTGAGTCACTGTAATCAGTTTGTAAATCATTAGTCAAAAAAAAGTTATTTTATAAACTTTTTATTGGTTTTAAGACAAAAATTTTACCTTTCTTCTGTTGTCACTTTTTTTAGTCAGTTTAAGGTTAGTTTTAAAACACCCTATCCTGTTGTTTTTAGAACTACTAGAAATGGAAATATTTGTTGACTTTTACGCGTAAATACAACTGAACGATAAACAATATCTAACAAAATAATAATAAAATATACCTACATTGTTAGAAAAAAAATTTTTTTTGATTGGCCAAATAATGTTGCTTAATTTTTGCATTGTTTAAGTTTTCAGCAATAAAGAAAAAAAACACGTTAAAAGTTAATTAGTAACTTTATTTTTCATATTATCGACAGCTTTCTCTTTATAATTGACATCATTAGTCAACGGTAAAATGTAGTGTATTTAGCAAACCACCTATTTTTATAACTTTATAAAATAATGTAAGCAACTAATGAGACAGTTATTGGCAACTTCTAAAACGTTCACATTAGGCGAGTATAAGAAGGCAATTACAATCATCGGATTACATATCGTCTATTCTGTTGTTGGTTTTAAGACAAAAATTATACCTTTCTTTTGTTGTCACTTCATACTATTACTTCAGTTGATCACAATTGCAGCACAGCATGAAAAAGTTCAAAAAAACATTTCAATGATTAAGAAAGAACTTTTATGCTTCAGAATACTTAGTTATTCTTGAATACAGCCGTTTGAAATTTATACAGTTTAAATTTTACCAGAGATATATATTGTATTTAGTTCAAACTTCTTTTTTCATACAAATCTTTATCGTATTTACAGCATAAAGAAATAACTATAACTGATGCGAAACTGAGAAAAATAAGAGTTTGATTGATTTGGTAAAAAAAGTGCCTGTTTTTCTTAAAATAGAACTAATTTCTAAGCTAAATTTTATTCAACTTTTCAGTAGACATCCTCTTTATCTAAAAAAATAGAAAAGAAACATTTTTTATTAAATTTTATTATAATTAGTGCTTAAAACAAACAAAAAAAAATAACAGTAATTGTTTATCTGCAGTATGTCGAGCAGGAAATGTGAGTGTGAAATTAAGAAAATAAAGTTAACTTCTGTCTACAATTTAATGATAATTATTTTATCATTAATTGATATCAGTTTGGCAAGAAATCTTAATTAGGCCAAATAGATTTTTTAGAAAAGAAAAAACTTGTCTGAAAATGTTATATAAGTTTTTCTTGACAAAGCTGAACAATTTTGGTTGACAGTTATATTCGTCGCTGATTCCAACTGTTAGCTGTCAAACTGTTTTAAGTTGATTCCAATATCAAAATTCAACAATAATTCAAAACACAGCAAAGATTTGTATTTTTTACAAACCAGCTTAAGGTGTTTACTCTGCCCAGAGAAAAAAAAAACAATGTAGAAGAAAATTTAGGCAAGCAAAATAGATCAGTGGTTAACAGTTGAAATAACAAAACCCTAACGATTGTATAACTAATGTAAGAGATAATTATTGCTGATTTATCCACCTTTTATAGCCAGCAATCAGGCAACCATTATTGCTGATTTTTTTTTATTTTTTCTTATTCAAAAACTAATCTTAATTTGTACAGCAAAAAACCAATAATTAAATAAATCTCAAATCATTCTCAACAAAATTGCTGAAAAGATAATTATAAATGTTAACTACTGATCGGGTGTTTCAAATTTTCTAATAAAATAAACGAACAAAAATTTGAGAAGTTATTTAGTAAAAGAAAATTGCAGCCAGAAAAATGTTTACTTTTAAAGATTAAAAAAAAAAAAGCACTTGTAAATGCAAAATTTTATGTAGTGAAATAAAAGGTGGTTTTTTTTTTTCAACGTATACTGATTTGTCTAAACACTATTTGTAGGATAAAAAAAATGAAATACAAAAAAAAAGCAGTCAAGCATTTTTATTTTTGTCAGCTTTATTTTATCAGTTCAACCTAAACACAAATTTGTAAAATTAAGTAACATTTTTTTGACAGGTTAATGCAACTGATAACGAGCTGAAAAGAATGTAAAATTAAAAGGGACATTTGTAGTTTACCGACCATTTATTCAAACTTCCGGTAAACTGTGACCAGTTTCCGCTTCAGTTTAGTTGAGCAGTTGAAATTTAGTAGAAACAAAATACAATAGCAGCTGCTATTATCCTCTGATTTGGTCAAACTGCTTCAAGATACAAGTAAAAAAATTTTGACTGTCAAAAACTTAGACGTGTGATAAACCTATCGTAAGAATTACACACCGGTAACAGCAAAAATTTGTAAGTTTTAACAAGCATTGTTTTTGGTCGTTTTTTTTAAACTTATCAACTTTAGAACAATTTCACATTAGCTCTTGAACATGACATAGAAATCTTCCTCATTATACTATTTATAGCGTTATTTACGTGAATATTTGCTTTTCCTGTCCTTATCGCCATTTCAAGCGTACATGCAATAAAGTAAAAAAAGTGATTAAGCTTATTAGATTGAGTGAATAATAAACAGTG